CGAAAAAAAAAAAAAAAAAAAAAGGTTGAACGGATGACTATTTAAAAAAAAAACCCAAATAAGTCAAGGCATTTTTGTAGGCAATGTGGCATTTTTTGCTTGCTGACGTCATTTGGGGGAATGAGCATTCGACAATGATAACCTTTATCTATCAAAATGTACCCCAAGATTGAATCGAGTTTGTCTAATATAATAGTGAATTGATGTTTAATAATTGTGGTAATTACGCCACAATTTTATCAGGGACAGAATTCGATGAACGGATACCACTAGTTGGCGTATTTGCGAAAGACCGAGATAGCTGTATTAAGTTCACCGGAATTTGAGTGATTGTCGTGAGAGCTGTATTAAGTTCATGGTTGTGTGTGTGGTCTCTCATGTGTTGCTATGACAGAGATGCCAACTTGCTCCGGACAGCAAATATATATTTTAAAGTGGCAATTTATCAATTGTGATTCTTGGTTCAATAAATTCAATTTAGTACGTTTTTATACACCACTATTTCTAAATAATTCGTAGGTTTATATAATTCTTCACGTTATAGTACTTTTGTCATGCTGTACACTATAAAAAGCAACCAAAAATAGTCAAATAATTCAAATATTTGCAAAATTTACTTTGTGGTTATTTACCGCTTTTTTAATTATTTTGGCGTGTCCGGAGCAGTTGGCATCTCTGCTATTAGCAGTCGAGTGTGTACGGGATCCTGTTGTGTGTAAATGAGACTGAGAAGCAACAGCGCGAGGAGGAGAATGACGCAGTCACAAATAGCAAGTCAACTGTTCAATGGGGTCCATTCATTGAGGTGGTCGTTACTTTCGATGTAGGAGAGTTCATATCACGTCTGCAGGTCCCCAATGTGGGGAATGAGCAATCGATAATGTCCCCCTTCATCGATCAAAATGTACTCCTAGATTGAATCGGAATAGCATGTCTTATATAATAGTGAATTGATGTTTAATTATTATGGTAGATACGCCGCATCATATCAGCTTACCACAATATTCTTCAAAACCTCCTTTTTCCCCATGTCGTTGACCATACATGCACCACTTTTTTTCAATACATAAGTATCTATGATGCAAATGAGTACGGTAGTCTAAGACTATTGACCCAGAGTTCCCACGCAGTGAAATTTTTTTTAAAGTGGTTGCAATACTGAGATGTATCTGGATGTTTTAAGGTATCAATAAAAATTCAATTTAAAGGAAATATATATGGGTGCAAAAAATAATTCGGAAATAATTTCGTAATTCCCAAATGAAAAATTTTTAGAGTGGGCATTTTTAGAGAAGGTTTGAAAAATCTTAGATACCACTCATTTATTTTTTACAGGTCCTGGGAACCTGTGAACTCCACGATAATTTATTTCTAAAACGTTCAACTTATATATGCTTGAGAAATTAAAAAACATTACTTTCCATACATGTTAAGGAAACATTTATGTTCAACATAAACTTCAGTTTTGATATATTGATCCACAAGTTATTACATCACTAGTTTTTGCATCTATTATATATTAATATTCTATAATTATTAATTATATATTCCTGAAATTGTTATCTTTTAATTTTCGGTCAGAAGGTCATAGACATTAATGTCTTGGGTGACGGTTAATAATTTGAAAATAAGTATTTTTGAAATGAAGCATATTACATATCAATGTAATCAGAATTTATTTTTAAAAAAATTAACACGTTAAAAATGTTATACCTGGTATAAAGAGGGAGCTTGGGGCACATATCTCTGAGTGGACATCTTATCACTTCTTATCCCCGTAGATTCCGAATGATCTTCTAAAGATTTAAAGCAATTGGAGCAGAGGTCACTACGCCAAGCATTCTGCACAAACGTCTGGCAGATGATCGACATAGCTGCCTCCAGAACATCCAATGATTACCTAGAAGTAAATAGTTACCATGATTATTAACAAAGTAAATAGATGTTAGCGATTCTATTCTTATAACAGCTTAATACTACGTGACATGAAATTCAATGAAACTAATTAAAATTGTAGTTAAAAGCGATGATCAACGTCGCGCAGATTATGTCAGGAAAAGTAGAAGGTATATGAAGTAGGAGGTGAGAAATTTGCATGGATGATTTAACACTTTCATCTCTGTTATGCAACGTCTAAGCCTCC